TCTTGGTAAAGTATTGGCTTGATTTCTCCGCTCACATCCGGGGTCCTGCATGGTTCAGCCCTGCTCTCCCCAGAACTCCCAACCAGGCGCTCCCCCACCCCCCAACAGGCCTGTCCATCCTCCATAAGTTCGAGCTTCCCCAGCCATCCATCTCCAGCCCGGTCGTGTGCACCATCTTTGACAACTCCCTCCACATCTCATATACCCAGGCTGCTCCCCTACTAAAACCCAGAGCCACATGCTCCAACCCTCCTCCATGTTCCCTGCGCTGTTTCAATGTGTCTGTTTGCATAACACTGTCAAAGTTTAATGCATGAGAGGTGTGTGGTCCATGTGAATGGGTTGCAAACGTTTCTGGACAGAACTTACCTCAGTTATCAGCAGGGAACAGAGCTCAAAGGCCCATGAGTGAGGGTCATAATCTCCTTGGTTGAGTCTTAGCTAGAGGCAGACTACTGTACACTGGAAAGAAAGCCTGTTTGGCTATGACTATGACCCCTACCTGTGTAAAGATCACATTACGGGTGTCCCTCCTAGAAAAGTTACGTAGGTAGAGGCAATGGTAGCTGATACTGAACACAGAATAAGTCTCCAGAAAATGTATGGACAATTAAAAAGATTATGGTCCAATACAGCACTTAGCGAAATATCACATGGAGCTTCTTCTAAATTCCTGTTAGTCTTGCAGAAGATCCACCCTGAGCTAAGCACACTAGAGCATGTGGCCACCCTACTCCCTACATTCTGGAGACCAGGTGGAATACGTTTGTGTTTGCCTTGCCTGTCAAATTGATCTGACGTGAGACAATTGGAAGGAGTTTTCCTTCACTTAACCGGATAAGGAAACCCAGGCCCAGAGCCCCCTCAGTGTGGTAGCCCCCTCAGTGTGATGGGCCCAGCAGAGATGGGGGATCCTCTGTGACAGGAAAGGACTTAGAAATTATATTCCTAACAGTCACTGCCTTTAAGCTTCTGGTAGCTTCTCTAGTTTGTTCCCACTACTTCCCTGTACTTATAAAAACAGCTTTTGAGACCACTGGTAAGTCTGGCTCCAGAGAAGCTATGTGGAAAGGATAGCTTTTCTCAGATTTCTTGAATTCTTCAACAAAGATTAGCCCAGGCCCTGCATGCACACTTTACCCAGGCATCTCTTAGCAATCCTTCACATGCTAGCTTTGGCCAGTGTTTCCACCAAAAGAGAACTGAAAGAAAGAAAGAAAGAAAGAAAGAAAGAAAGAAAGAAAGAAAGAA